AAATTGAATTTTGTGCAGAGATTTAAAAGCTCGTGTGAGTGTGAGTTTTCATCAGAGCTGCCTCCTGGTGTTATTACTGCAACAATATTATTTGCTATATTCCTCAATTTTAGGTGCCTTAAGTTGAAATCCCCCAGGAGCAAGATGTTGGGTGCAGGAGCTGGCAGATTTTCCAGACAGTGGTCAATTTTTAACAGCTGTTTCTGGAATTGCTGGGATGTTGCATCCGGAGGCTTGTAGACTACCACAATGACTAGGTTTTGGTTCTCGACCTTTACTGCTAAAACTTCCACTACATCATTTGAGGCATTAAGCAGTTCTGTGCAAACAAGTGACTCTGCAATGTACAGGCCAACCCCCCCCCCTCTTTTGCCTGTTCACTCTGTCACATCTGTATAGGTTGTAACCTGGGATCCATATTTCGTTGTCCAAGTGATCCTTCATGTGGGTCTCAGTGAAAGCCGCGAACATTGCCTTTGCCTCTGCAAGCAGTCCACGGATGAAAGGTATTTTGTTGTTTGTTGCTGGCTTTAGACCCTGTATATTTGCAAAGAAGAATGTTATCGGACTGGTGGTGTTGTTGGTACTGGGGGGGGGGATTTTTTTTTCCGGCATTAGTATCTGTATCTGTTGGTTTGGAGTGGAGGCCATCGACTGTGGTTCCACTCCAGGAATGACTGGATTTGGTGTACGATTTCTGCCATTTCCTGCCAGTTTTTTTTCCTTCCTGGCACTAAAAAACCTCTCCCTCTTGAGTGGCTGTGGCTACCCAGGTTTTCCCATGGCCTGGATGTTTTGTATCTTTTTGTCCCCTTTAGATGGTATACCTGGCAATTTAAGTTATAGCACAGTCTTTCCTGTACTGAAGAGGTACACAGTTCAGGGTGAAAAAGCTTACAGGAAGGGAGTTTGCATTTTCCTGTTGTCATATGGGCATGGCATTTTCTAGGGTGGTCATAGTTGCACGTCCCATCTGTTTTTCCAGATTTCCCATGCCAGCAGATACCAAGTGCATAGTATGTGCACAGGCTTGGTTTCCGTTTGCCTTGGGTTTCTGTGACTGTATTCCCTGTTGGTGCATATTTTACTTCTATCCTCCCTAGCACCAACAATGCAGCTCCCACCAGTTGTTTTTGGCAATATATCCTCACTATTGCTAGTGGAGTCCTCTTGTTTGCTTTTTCCTGCGGTATTTCTAGTTTGCAATATTGGTTTTATCTTATCTTTGACTACACTTGTTTCCCTACTATGGCTCCTGTCCCCTATGAGGTCATTTATATGTATTCCTTCCTGCGTATAATTCCCGACTACCTGGACAAAATCTCCAGCTTCACCATTACTGTCTCCCAGGACAGCATCTCCAGCTTCACCATTACTGTCTCCCAGGACAGCACCTCCAGCTTCACCATTACTGTCTCCCAGGACAGCACCTCCAGCTTCACCATTACTGTCTCCCAGGACAGCACTATCAGCCCCACATTTACTGACTACCAGGACATCACCTCCAGCCTTACAGTTTGTGACTACATGGCCAGTATCAAGGGCAGTACCATTCAGCCCAGACTTTTTATGTTCCCATCTGTTGTAGAAAGCTTCCAGGTTTTCTATGAAAGCAGCTTTGATGTTGTCCTCTTTTAATACCTTGTGATTTTAGTCCACAGATTTTTCTCATTTGGGCATACCCAAAAACACTTCCCTGTTTTAACACTGCTTGTAGCTAGTTCTTGGATATCTGCACAAGGGGCGTGACACCAATTTCCACAAAAATGACAATTTACCCATGTGGAAGCCCGTTTGTTTGACTGACCACAGACTACACACAGCTTCATAATGATTTGAATGGTTGATTTACTGCAATTCTACTAGCAACCTCTTGAATATTCTATTAATAACCTCCTTAAATGAAGCTCTAGCTATTTGTATTTCTGTTTCTAACTGTTTTTGTATATTGGACAGCTTACCGTCACGTTCCTGATTTATATTTAATGTTTGTGTTTATAAGGGCGCCTACAACCCCATCTGTTTACAGTCTGCTTTATTGTCCAACGAAACCGTTTGAAACCAGTCAAGGGTTCGGACCAGTCAAGGGTTCGGACCAGTCAAGGGTTCGGACCAGTCGATCTGATCTGATCAGTGGGTCACTTATTTAAAACATACTGGTCGGTGATTTGAGCTAACACATGAAGGATCTACTGGAAATTATTTACCCGAGTAATATGTGATTTGATTGATACAAAAGTATAACTTGCGTGCTGAAGAAACCGGTGACTGCTGGCAACTCCTACAATGACGAACGGTCGACCTCAACCCTTGTTTATCAATCGCTGTATCTAGCTTTTCTATTTTTTTTCCGTCTCCACCACAATAAATGCTATATTATCACTATAGTTGACTGGTGGAAATTTTGGAGGAAGGACGCTTTTTCTGTAGTAATAATTGCTTCTCGTTGTGTATATTGCGAGCGCTGGTAACTACAGGTTATATGAAATTCACAGTATACGTCTGGTATTTCAAGAAAAAAGAAACTAATGAAAATCACTCCACTCCACTAAGTACCATTATAATACTGGTTAGTTGCTACTACAACACTGTATTCTGCTATTCACTGGTATCACTAGATTATATGGGAGTACACTAGCAAGCCAGGAAGATTATTAAAAACAGCTGACCTGTGGTAAGTTTCTGGCGACTTCTGGCACCTCCCTCTATAGGCTTATCACTTCATTTACAAATTCACCTGTTTTCAAATGACACTTTAGCCTTTATCATCAATATACTGTCAATATATGTCGCAGGTCATCCATCTTATGTAAGTTGTCTTATACCGGTTGGTCTTCTACTTTAGGTTGGTCTTCTGATTTAAGTAGGTTTTCTAATTTAGGATAACAGATGAACAAGGAGGCTTTAGGAAAGGTAGGGGGTGTGTAGACCAAGTGTTTACAGTGAAACATATAAATGAACAGTATTTAGATAAGGCTAAAAAGGTTTTTGTGGTATTTACGGATTTTGGAAAAGGCATATGACAGGGTGGATAGGGAGGCAATGTGGCAAACGTTGCAGGTGTAGGGTATAGGAGGTAAGTTACTGAAGCAGTAAAGAGTTTTTACGAGGCTAGTGAGGCTCAAGTTAGAGTATGTAGGAAAGAGGGAGATTATATCCCAGTAAAAGTAGGCCTTAGACAATGATATGTGATGTCATCGTGGTTGTTCAATATATTTATAGATGGGGTTGTAAAAGAAGTGAATGCGAGGGTCTTGGGAAGAGACGAGGAGTTTAAAGATAAAGAATCAAACATAAAGTGGGAGTTGTCACATTTGCTTTTTGCTGATGACACTGTGCTCTTGGGAGATTCTGAAGAGAAGTTGCAGAGGTTGGTGGATGATTTTGGTAGGGTATGTAAACGAAGAAAATTAAAAGTGAATACAGGAAAGAGTAAGGGTACGAGGAAAACAAAAAGATTAGGTGACGAAAGATTGGATATCAGATTGGAGGGAGAGAGTATGGAGGAGGCGAATGTATTCAGATATTTGGTAGTGGACGTGTCAGCGGATGGGTCTATGAAACATGAGGTGAATCATTGAATTGATGAGGGCAAAAGGGTGAGCAGTGCACTGAGGAGTCTGTGGAGACAAAAAACTTTGTCCTTGGAAGCAAAGAGGGGAATGTATGAGAGTAATGTCTGAGGGCAATGTGTGGTGTGAATATAATGCAGAGAATTCGTAGTTTGGAAGTTAGTAGGAGGTGCGGGATTCCCAAAACTGTTGTCCAGAGGGCTGAGGAAGGGTTGTTGAGGTGGTTCGGACATGTAGAGAGAATGGAACGAAACAGAATGACTTTGAGAGTGTATCAATCTGTAGTGGAGGGAAGGCGGGGTAGGGGTCGGCATATGAAAGGTTGGAGGGAAGGGGTAAAGGAGGTTTTGTGTGCGAGGGGCTTGGACTTCCGGCAAGCATGAGTGAGCGTATTTGATACTAGTGAATGGAGACAAATGGTTTTTAATACTTGACGCGTTGTTGGAGTGTGAGCAAAGTAACATTTATTAAGGGAGTCAGGGAAACCGGCAGGCCGGACTTGAGTCCTGAGGATGTGAAGTACAGTGTCTGCACTCTGAAGGAGGGGTGTTAATGTTACAGTTTTATAACTGTAGTGTAGAGCACCCCTCTGGCAAGACAGTGATGGAGTGAATGATGATGAAAGTTTTTCTTTTTCGGGCCACCCTGCCTTGGTGGGAATCGGCCGATGTGTTAATAAAGTAAAATAAAATTTTAATTTAGGTAGATCTTGAGCTTTAGGTAGGTCTTCTAATTATGGTAGTCTTCTAATTATGGTAGTCTTCTAATTATGGTAGTCTTCTAATTTAAGTAGGTCTTCTCTAGACATCCTCTCCACCAGCTAGGTCTTCTCTATCAAACAGTGCCTCTTTGCCTGGTAGGGGCTTTCTACCAGGTACATCTTCTCCACCACTGACAGGAAAGTATATATAGAATAATAATATTTCCGACATATGATGACACCATCGTTACCCTGGAACGTTCCCCGAACTTCCGAAATCTGTATTGCGAAGCAAATAATTTCATTTAAGTAAAATAATTCCATACAAAACTCGAATAATTTTCATTTTACAAACTGATTACAGTTTTTTGTATCTCAGAAAAGTCTTTGAGAAGGACAACTGCTCTTTCCCACTGTGCTGTTTACTCCAGGAATATCCTCCTCGGGAAGGTAAGCTCTCGCTTGCTTCCTATGACACTCTTTACCCCAGGAAGATCCTTGTCAATGTAAACTGTATCCTTCCCATTGCACTGTTTATCCCAGGAAGATCCTTGACAATGTAAACTACCTTCTTCCCGAGTGCTGTGCACCCCAGGATGATCTTTAACACTTGTGGACTCAAAAATAAAATGGAGTCCCAGTGTAAATACACTAAAATAGGTCCAGAGACTTGGCCCCAGACATCTGTCGTGGAGCTCCTCGGTAATCACTTCCTTCCCTTCCTGCAGGTATGGCGTGGACGTGTGTGGTGTCGAATTCCTCACTGACCAGTTCGACGTAGAGGAAACAGCTGGATGCTCTGAGGCTAGCCTGGTACTGGCTGGACGTACATACTGTGGAACCATCCCCCCAGGCTCCCACAGTGAGTGTAGAGTGTGTGACACCCCCCAGTCTCCAACAAGTGAGGAACGAGGTATATAATGTGGGACAATTCCCAGGCTCCCACAGTGAGTAAAGAAGTATGTACTGTAGGACAATCCCCTCAGTCTCCCACAATGATTAAAAAAGGATTATGCTGTGGGACAATTCCCCCTGCTCCTACAATGAGCAAAACGGTTTATTCTGTGAGACCATTCACCGCAGGCTCCCACACTGGGTAAAGAAGTATATACCCAAGACCATCCATCCAGGCTCCCACAGTAATTAAAGAGGTATTCAATGTGTGACCATTTTCCCAGTGTCCCATTGTTTGCAAAGAGAGCCATACTGTGGGAGTATCTCTCTTGGCTCTCACAATAAAGAGGCATATTCCGTATTTCCCCTATCTCCCACAGTGAGAAGAGAGAGTTTGTACTGTGGGATTATTATCTTAGGGTCCCACGGGGAATAAGAGGCAAATAGAGTGGGATTACATCAGGCTCTTCAATGAGCACGCAAGAACACACATCCGTCTCTCGCCGATTAATGAACACAAATTCCATGGGTGACTTCTTTACAAGTAGAAAGAATAACACACATTATCGCAAGCCTCTGTATGCCTGACCAAAGAATATGTTGACCAAAGAATATCATTAAACAGTCACCATTTCCATAAGGTGTACTGGCGGCTCACGCCGGCTGGCTGCCTATCATAAAACGTTTTCCACAGAACAATTAAATACATACGTTTACATCTGGCACTATTAAACGGGTAAGGCACACCCCACCACACATTTTGGTACAAAACTTCGCCTATACTGAACCAAACACCCTCCTAAAATTTCAGGAAACCCGAAGCTGTTTGCTTGTCCATTTCGTCATCACGATGACTATCCGCCGCCTCCGCCCTGCATACAGCTTTGACGTGATACCTCGTCATATAATCCAATCACAAATGTTCAATAACCCAAATACAATATACAATATACTCATAATTCAATATACATTGATAATTTTTAACTATATTTTAACCCAAAAATTATTTAGTATATTTATTGCAAGAACACTGAACAAATTATTATCAAAACTAAATGCATAGAGTTCGTTGCGTAGTAGTATATACAGTATACTGTGGGATCATCCTAAGGGCTCACACAGACCTAGGGGAAACAAACCATGGTAGTTACAACCACTCTAGAGAAAAAGATAGAGAAAAAGATTTTTTAGTGTCAGGAAGAAAAAACTGGCAGGGAATGACATAAATACTACACTACCTCGGATCTCTACTGAAGTGTAGGCACAATCAGTGGCCCCCATTCCAGAAGAACAGATATTAGTGCCAGCAAATAGTCCCCCTATATACCACCAATTCAACATTTGAATCTGTAAATATGCAGGGTCTAATGCCACCAACAAACAAGAAAACACCTTTCATCAGTAGATTCCACGCAGTCAAATGCTTTCACAGACACATACACAAAGGATCACTTTGACAACGAAATATGGATCCCAGGGCAAAACTTATTCAGATGCGATAGAAAGAACGGGCAAGAAGGTGAGGTTGGCCTGTGTGTCATAGTCGCTTATTTGCTTGGAATTGCTAAATGCCACAAATGATATAGGTGAAGATTTAGCAGTAAAGATTGAAAAACCAAAACCTTGTCATTACAGTTGTATACAAGCCACCTGATGCATCTTCCCAACAGTTCAAAGAACAGTGTTTGAAAATTGGCTACTGTCTGTTGCTGGGTGATTTCAGCTTCAGACATTTAAAACTGAGGTATGTGGCAAATAAGGTCTTTGCTGAGATAAGCCCAGGAAGCAGCTCTGATGAAAATTCACACACAGACTGCAATGAGTTCGCCTTAAGTAAGCAATTAGTAGAGCCAACAAGACAGGAAAATTTATTTGACCTTATTTTCGCTAATAATGATGATCTGGTACGAAATATAACAGTAACAAAGACAGTTCACTTGGATCACGTAATCAAAGTACAGACATGTATGCGTAGAACTCCTGACCAGCAAAATGAGATCGGTTATGAGAGTACTTGCACCACATTCAACTTCAATAACAGAAACATACAGTGGGATCAAATTAACCATGTCTCAAATGAAACAAGCTAGGAAGATATCCTAAACAACATGGATCCAAACCTTTGCCTAGAAAGAATTAACTCTGTGGCACTTTAGATATGCTCAGGCACATTCCTTTAAGAGAAAAGAAAAGTAGATATAAACTAGAAAAAGAGAGACGTTTCCTCTACAGGCAAAGACGAAGAACCATAGAGCTGCTCAAAGAGGCCAATCTATCTGATATACAGGAGACACTGGCCAGGGAAATAGAAAATATCGAACCTAAGCTTAAGAAATCATACAGGGGGCAAGAAACGCAGGAAGAACTTTAAGCGATAAATGAAATTGAAAAAAATATATTTCTTTTCTTATGCCAAATCTAAAATAAAAAAAACACAGTACTGGGTCTCTGCTCAGATGAGATTGGACTTAACATAGATGATACAAAAGAAATGAGTGAGATTCTGAAGTCCCAGTATGACTTAGCATTTAGTGAGCCGTTAATCAGACTGAGGGCCGGCAATCTAAATGGAATTTTTATGACCGAGACTCAAAATTTAGTTAATTCATGAATTTTTGATGTAATCCTAACACCACAGGACTTTGACTAGTGGTCCCAAGCCCAGACTCGTGGAACTCCATGATCATTAAGAACCACAACAAACTCCCTTACACGTGCCTTAAATGTTCAATGAAGAGAGAGCATAGATACAAGGGTCATCCTACAGTCACTAAAAACAACGGATATAGTCGCACCCTGCAAAGGTGGCAGTAAAGCAATTGCAAAGAATTACAGACCGATAGCACTAACATCCCGCTTCATAAAAATCTTTGAAAGGGTTCTAAGAAGCAAGATCGCCAGTCACCTGGACACCCAACAATTGCACAGCCCAGGGCAACATGGGTTTAGAACAAGTTGTTCCTTTCTCTCACAACTACTGTACTACTATGACATGGTCTTGGACGCACTGGTGGACAAACAAAATGCAGATGAAGTATACACAGACTTTGCAAAAGCCTGTGACCAGAGCGATCATGGTGAAATAGCACACAAAATGTGAGATAAAGGAATAACAAAAAAAGTGGGTCAGATGGATCAATAACTTCCTAACAAATAGAACACAAAGACTAATAATAAACAGAGTAATGTCAGAGGCTGCTATAGTGAAAAGCTCTGCTGTACAAGGTATTTACTCCCATCCTTTTCCTCATCTTCATATTTGACATAGGCAGAGATGTAAGCCACAGCAAGTGTCCTCCTCTACTGACGATACCAGAATTTGCATGACAATCATCCATTAAGGACACTGCAAATATCCAAGAGGATATTAACCAGTCTTTAAATCAGCCTTAGAAAACAATATGACATTCAATGAAGACCAATATCAATTACTCCGTTATGAAAAACTCGAGGAAGCAAAAATTGGATCGGAGTATAAAACAAATTCCAACTACACACTAGAGAGAAAAATGAATGTGATGGACCTGGGAATGATAATGTCAGAGAATCTCACTTTCAAAGATCACAATAATATATCCATCACATCTGCTAGGAGAATGATAGGATGGATACTGAGAACCTTCAAAACTAGGGATGCCAAGCAGTGATAATTCTCTTCAAATATCTTGTTCTCTCTAAGTTGGAATATTGCTGCACACTAATGGGCCCTTCCGAGGCAAGCGAAATTGGAGACCTGAAGAATATAAAGAGAATTGTCACTGCACGTATAAGTACAATAAAGCACCTAAATTACTTGGAATGGTTGAAGTTCCTTGACCTTTACTCCTTGGAACGCAGCCTAGAAAGATACATGATAATATACTCTTGGAAAATCCTGGAGGGATTAGTCCCAAATCCGCACAAGGAAATCACTTCCTACGAAAGCATAAGATTCTGCAAGCGGGCAACATCCCCTAGTGGAAAGTACAGTGCCTACATTCTATAGGATGGGTGGAGATATTTGCAGTTTTCAGCTGTAGTATCGACGACCCTCTGGCAAGACAGTATGGTGTGAGTGATGGTGAAAATGTTTCTTCTTTTTTGAGGTCACTCTACCTTGGTAGGAGACGGACGGTTTGTTGAGAAAAAAATATTGATCAAAATTTGGTACATTATCATAGTGCTGTTTCCCTATTACATAGGATGGATTTTAACAGCTTGATATGGAAACTCCGGTTGGACATTGATGATGTCTTTAGGTATTCTATGTGCGGCCAGTAGTAACAGCCTCGTTGATCAGGCCATGATATACCGGAAGACCTGGTCGTGGGCCGGGCTGTGGGGGCATTGATCCCCAGAAAGCCCTCTAGGTAGACTCCAGGTAGGTAGGGTTCATCAGCTACAGAGGCTTCGAAGGTTTCATTGAAGCAGAAATGGAGTTACTGTTACTTGGGAATTACCATTCCTCAAGATGGCATTTCCCATACACACGAGAAAATGGAATTTATAAAGAAGTCTTATAAATAGGTATATAAATGCCTATATACACATTTAAATACAGACAATACCTTCGACACAATTCTAGCAAACATATGCAGTGTCAGGAGAGTATGAGGACAGGTGTGTAGGTAGAGTGGGGGAGGTGTGTAAGTAGAATGAGACAGGTGTGTAGATGGATTTGGGAAGTTGCGTAGGTAGAGTGTGGCACATATGCAAGTAGAGTGGGGCAAGTGTATAAGAATGAGACAGGTATGAAGGTCGAGTGGGGAAGTTGTGTAGGTTGAGGGTACAAATGTGTTTATAAAGCGAGACAGGTGTGTTGGTAGGGCAGGATATGTGAATATATCAAATAGAGGAGATTAGTAGTTTGAGTGAGGCAGGTTTGCAAGTAGACTGGGTAAATATGTTCACAGAGTTGCGTAAGTGTGTAGGTACAAAGAGACGTGTCGGGACTGGTATAGTTTGTATTTTTCACCTGTCCACTCTTGTTTCTCTGTCCAGGTGTGGTACCCTTCCCTAGGGAGGGACCAATCATCATGATGTTTGTCACAGGACGCTTCCACACGGGCGCCGGTTTCAGCCTCCGGGGCCGCCAGATTCCTTGTTCTGAACGATCTCCTATGGTGACTTCAGAGGATAACAAGTCTGGCTCTAGAGTAATGAGTCATCAAAACCCTAAACGAGAGATCAAGGAAGAAGAGAAGGAGGCAGCGCCGCTGCGATCGTCGGAGGGACACCAGGAGGCCGAGTGGGTGGACGGATGGACGGAGGAAGACACATGGGCAAACGTGGGTAAAATATCACTTTTACCTGAGCATTATGGCTGAGGTATTGCTCAAGGCTGTTGATGAAATCTGTGGTGAAAACCAAGACCGATGCGAAGGTAGAAACCACATTTAAATGCAGTTCTGTTGAACAAGTTTGAAAACAGTGTTACAGAAGCAGGCTATCATGATATATTCTTTGTAAGTTGTCGTTATTTGTGCTTTGTTGAGGCGAAAGTGATGGTCTTCTTGAAGCCATGACACTCCTGAGAGTTTAGACGTAGACGCTCAGGCTGGTACTGGCTCTGCCTTTAGCTGGGTCTCTCCTCTCTCTCTCTCTCTCTCTCTCTCTCTCTCTCTCTTTGTCTCTCTGTGAGTGTTTCTGTCTCTCTATCTGTCTCTGTCTGTCTCTCTCTGCCTGTCTCTGTTTGTCTGTCTCTCCCTCTCTCTCTCTCTCTCTCTCTCTCTCTCTCTCTCTCTCTCTCTCTCTCTCTCTCTCTCTCTCTCTCTCTCTCTCTCTCTCTCTCTCTCTCTCTCACACACACACATACAGGGTTTTACAAGGTTAGGGTAAGGATTCTTAACTTTATATACAAGCTAAGAGCTGTTTCCTACATCAGCTCATTTGAAATAATTTTTGTTGTTATGAAACATACAAGTCGGGAACAGGATGAAGTTAGAGCCATCAGTGGGCCAGCAATTTCATTTGATCAACTGACTTTATTTCGCTGATATCATTATGCTGTACGAACATGTTTCAGTCTCCAGTCATCTTAGAAATAAATGATCTCATATGAAGTGATGTTCTGGAAAAGAGTACAGTTAGAATGTTGCTGCTTGCTGTCCTTGTACAAAAACTCGCTTCTCGTTGTTCTAGGAGTGGAGCCAAGTGTGCTACTTTGACAATATTGGCCTTGTATATAACACTAAGGCCACCCACGTCCCTCCTGTATTGAAGGCTCTGCTGAAATGACAGATCTATCCAGACTGAGTCCAGATGAGACGGAGGGCAGGCAATCCAAGAAAGTGGAACATACTCAAGGTGTGAGCATACCTGCGCCTCGTACAGAATCTTGCAACCTCTACTGTTGAGCAGATGCGAGATACGTCGAAGTGCTGCCTTGTTTGCAAGATTTACAAAGTGGTTCTTCATGGTCAGTTTGGAGTCAAATTTAACCCCAAGGATATCAGCTTCGTCCCCGGGTACCAACACTTTCCCATTCATTCTTATCACTGCTCCAGCATTACCATCATGGTGCTTAGAGACCATCATCTGTCTTTTCTCAGGAGTAAACGTGACCTGCCATCGTTTACCCCAGACTGATATGGCTGTAAGCTGGTGATTGATGTAACTTAGAGCAGCTGGCATTTCCTCTCTTGGATAAGTTAATGTCAGAGTACAGTCGTCTGCATATGCATGGGATTTTGGGATAAGATGAAGAAGGTCATTGAAGTAGACATTCCACAACAATGGCCCAAGTACACTTCCCTGTGGAACCCTTTCACCAATGGGATGTCTTGCTGACTCTGTCCCATTGAGAACTACACTTAAAGATCTACCTTGAAGGTAATCACTGAAGAGACATAGTGTAGAGCCTGCAATTCCCAATGCTTGCAGTTTTGCCAAGAGGCCCTGGTGCCATACTCGGTCGAAAGCACCAGCTATGTCCAGTGCAGCTACACAACTGACTTTGGATTCATTAAGTGTCTGGTGCCACTTACGGGAGAGGTTTAACAACAGATCAGCAGCAGAGTAACCTTTTCTGAAGTCATATTGACGGTCACAAGTAAGTGAGTGGTAGTCGAAAAACTCCATCATCTGCTGTGAGATTATTGTCTCAAGAATTTGCTAGTGATTGACAGGCTTGACACTGGTCTGTAGTTGCTGATTTCTGCTCTGTTCTTGTTTTAGGGAACAAGGATTACATTAGCCTCTTTCCACAGAGAAGGCCACTTACACTTTGCTAGGCAGTGCTGATGCGAGTTAGAGGTGCTGTTAGCTGGTCTGCACATCTACATAGCAATCTTTGGCTCAACTTATCTCTCTCTCTCTATCTCTGCCTCCCATCCCCCTCCTTTCCGTCTCATACAAATATTACCGTGTATCTATATTGTGTGCGTGTTGATTTAGAGAAACAATATCTATATTTACTGTATGAGGAATATTCTATAAATAACCATTATTAGTGATACCTTTATTAATAAAGAATCTTATGACCACATACGCTGGATTGATTTCATCCTCTTGTTCTCATTACTCGGGCACACTAACTTGAACTGACTATTTTCCCAACAGGTAAGTGTGAATACCGACCCATAACACAGAGCTATAGAACACAGAGATGTGACTACAAACCAAAACTATAGTACTAGACTAGAGGCAAATATAACTACATATCCAGATTAAACGCCTTTACCAGTACACCTCTTTTACATGATCACAGTATTTACTGGAATGAAGATGAAAAGGTATGCGAGACCCCAATATTTAATAATTGTTAAGAATTTCAGCTGACCCCTAGGGTTAAAAGCCTTGTCGAGGGGCGCTAAACAGCTGGACAATACTTTAGGGTTCATTACCAG